ACTGGTCCCACCATCTCTCAGGGCACAAGGAAGACATGCGTCGAGACTCTTCTCGGTTCTGGCACCAAGGTGGTGGAATGAACTTCCCTTAGATGTCCGAACAGCTGAGTCACTGGCAGTCTTCAAACGACGTCTAAAGACTTACCTCTTCATTAAGTACTTAAGTTAGCACTTGCACGCACGCACACACACACACACACACACACAAAAAAAAAAAAAAAACCCAACAGAGTCTTGGGCTGATGGTATTCCTAGTTTGTGACCTAGTAAGCCGGTATCAGGATGTATTTTTGATAGACTTCAAAGCACTATTGTAAGTCGCTCTGGATAAGGGCGTCTGCCAAATGCCGTAAATGTAAATGTAAATGTATCAGCCCGATACCATTCTCATTCACTCATAGCTTTACTTGTAAAAGATACTGTCGACTGATTGCAAATGATAAAATGTGACATAAGGCTAGTGTATGCTTCCGCACTAATGAACAGATGACACAAAATTCAATTCTATTCAATTCATTTATTTCTGTAAAGCTGCTTTGTGACAATGTCCATTGTTAAAAGCTCTATACAAATAAAACTGAATTGAATTGAGAATTGAATTGAATTGAATTCAGTTTTATTTATATAGCACTTTTAATAATGGACATTGTCACAAAGCAGCCTTACAGAAATCCGGATATAAAATTTTACTTTAAATTTAGATTTAAATTTGTCCCTTTTAAATGTATTCCTAATGAGCAAGACATAGGCGATGGTGGCAAGGAAAAGTTCCTTAAGGTGACAAGAGGAAGAAAAGTTGAGAGGAACCAGACTCAAAAGGGAAGGCATCCTCATCTGGGTGACACCGGATAGTGCAATTGTAAATCATTTCTCTTCTATAACTGTATACTATAAAGTCAAGCTGCGCTGTGTTAAAAGGAACTTGACAGTGAGCATTCATTAGAGTATTAATTTTAAGTCTCATTTTATTAAACTGAAGTTATGTCAGTGATTGAGCCTTGAGTGTAAACTGTTCTTAGCAGTTCCTGTATTAGGGCTATCCAGGGAAGAATATCCACAGCCATCTTTAGGGTGTCCATCTGGAACCATCCACAGTAAACCCATGGTGATCTTTAGGCTATCCATATGGGGCCATGGGAAATAATGCAGCCAGGTACTCACTGTCAACAAACCTGAGTGAATGTGTGAGTGGGGATGACACTCTATTCCCATTAACCTGCTGTACCTTTACTTAAGAAAACAAAAGGCTTGACTAAACAAATATGTTTTCAGCCTGGACTTAAACATTAAGCCTGTGCATTTTGGAAGGCTGTTCCATAACTGGGAAGCTTTGGAAGAGAAAGCTCTGTCCCCTGTTGTAGCCTTCGTTATTCAAGGCACCAGCAAAGAGCCTCTGCCTTTAGATTGAAGCAAGCATGGCAGGTCAGTGGGGAGCCAAAGGGGGATCCAATGCAATGTGGATAAGATATGGGTGATGGGATCATATTTTCTGGTTCTAATAAGGACTCTTGCTACTGTATTCTGGACTAACTGGAGCTTGTTTATGTACCTACTGCAACATCTAGACAACAAGGCATTAGAGTAGTCCAACCTAGAGATAACATATGCATTAACTAGTTTTTCTGCATCCTGTCGTGACATTATATTTCTTATCTTAGCAGAGGATAGAAGGGTGTCCTAGTAATAACCATAACCAAGATGGCACCACTAAAGAAGGCTGCCTATGTTACTGCTCGCAACCCACACTGTAATTTTCTGTGTATTTAACTTTTTTTAATCTTTTTTTTTTTTTGCTTTTTGCAATGTTATTGAGTTAGCCCACGGATATATAACATATGACCGACAAACTTTAATCAACATTGGAATAGACTGTACTCACAAACATAATTCTCGTTTTCATCCCAATGCTGACTAATGTCCAGTCCATTGACAACAAACTGGATGGCCTTGAGGCCCAGATACTCAAACTGGATGACATCAGGGACTGCAACACTCTTTGCCTCACAGAGACATGGCTCACACCAAGCATTCCAGACCATGCTGTACAGCTGCCTGGGACCTCCCTTCACCGCATGGACAGGATGGAGAACCTGGGAAAATCCAGGGTGCTGGAGTGTGTGTTATGATCAGCGACAAATGGTGCAGTGCAGGAAGCCAGACCTGGAATACCTTGCAGTCAAATGCCATCCCTTTTATTTATCTCAAAAATTCACCTCCGCCATCATTGTGACTGTTTATATTCCACTGCAGGCCCACATGAACACCACTTTATTGACACTACACAGGAACATTGGACTACTACAAACACTGCACCCAGATGCAGTGTTGTTGATTATCGGTGACTTTAACAAACAAACTGGGAAAAAGTCATGCCAGATTTCTATCAGCACATAACCTGCAGTACATGGGGAGAAAGGATGCTGGATCACTGTTACACACAACACAGAGACTGCTATAAAGCAATAAAAACACTGCCACTTGGTAAGTCAGACCACGCTGCCAATTTACTACTCCCAAAATATAAACAAAGGCTGTGGAGGGAAGATTCAGTGACGCGAGAGGTGCGGCGCTGGACTGACCAGTCACAAGCCATGCTACAAGACACGCTGGAGGATGCAGACTAGGAGATGTTCCAGCGCAGCTCTGATGACATCAGCGAATTTACAGCAGCGTTACTCTGCTTTATAGAGTATCTGTTAGGAGACTCTATTCCCACACGCTCTGTAAAAGTTTTTCCCAATCAGAAGCCATGGGTAGATCGAACCATGCGGAAAGCTCTGAATGCCTGCCCAGCTGCCTGCAATGCAGGGCTGAAGAAGGGTAACATGGATGAATAAAAAAGCGGCTTCCTGCATCCTGAGGAAAATGGTGAGGGAAGCCAAAAGCTAATACAGGGAAAAGATTGAGACCCAGTTTGAGCAGGCAGATTCCAGGCAGATTCAAATACCTTGGGGTTAACCTCACAGAAGAATTCTCGTGGACAACACACAGCTTGGTGACAAGGGCACACCAGCGTCTTGTACCATCTACGATGCCTGGTCAGGTTCAAGGTCTCCCCCAGGGTGCTGAAGGCTTCCTACACTGGGCCTGTGTAGAGTCTTCTCACCGGGAGCATAACCATCCGGTTCGGAGGCACCATGGCCAAGGACCGAAAGGTGCTGTCCAGAGTGGTGTGGACAGCAGAGAAGGCCATCAGGACATCTCTCCCCCTTCATCTCATACATATACGACCAACGATGCAAGACTAGGGCCAGGAGGATTGTCAATGACTTTCACCACCCTGAGCATAGTCTCTTTTCAGTGCTCCCATCAGGGAAGCACTACCAGATCCTAAGGCCCAACACAGAGAGACTCATACATTTTTATTGTATAGTCTATTAGATTTTATTATATAGTCTATATAGACTACATAATTTCACTACATTACATCATATGTATGTAATATGTATGTGACAAATAAAGAACCTAATATTATCTACATGAACTTCAAATATGAGACTGGAGTCAATAAT